TACGCACTTCAGAAATGTCGGTTTCAGAACTCAAGCTTTTGTTCTTAGTTATATTCAATCCTAGGCTACAGCTAAATTGAGTTCCCTCCCCTTAATCCTGCCACTCATGGGGGGAATGAGGTGCTGAACCAGGCTGCCCGAACGGCATCATAAGAGCCCGCCAGCAGTGCAAACACAATGAAAAAGCATTTACTTGAAAATAATCATAAATGAATTTTATGCCAGTGATTATTTTGAACTATACATTAGCAGGGGTTCTCAAACTTCATTGCACCATGACCCCCTTCTGACAATAAAAATTACTACACGACCCCAGGTGGGGGGGCCTGTAGCCTGAGTCCCAACATGCAGGGCTGAAACCCTCAGACTTCGGCCCTGGGCCCTAGCAAGTCTAAGCCAGCCCTGGCAAACCATTAAAATGGGGGTGTGACCCACTTTGGGGTCCCAACCCACAGTTTGAGAACTGCTGCATTATAGCTCTGTGTGCCACTGGGAAGGGATAGAAAGGATGTGAAAGAAGGTAACATTGTAGAAGGATTTAGAGACTCATACAGGGGTCAAATTAAGCCTGCTGGTGGTGACTCAAATCAGTACTTTTTTTCTGAAGGCTGCCATCTTGTGCTTCAGACTCTACAATGTCATTAAAAAAAGCCTTCGCCTTTATGGATACAAAAGCCACGAGAATGTGAACTGACTGCAATCAATGCAGTAATGTCTGCCTGAACCTGCAAGAGTTAAACTGCCCCATTCATCTCAGTGTGGTCTTAACCCTGTAGTTATTCTAAATGTCAACACTGTTAACTTTTCTACTGATGAAAGAAGAGGGAGAATCATATCATGAACAGCTGCATAAGCTCCTGTGAGTGGCATCTCATTTTGGCATCTAGAATTCATGAACATTAATCTGTAGATGGAGCCTAGTTTGTGAGCAAAGCTCGGGTGAATATTGCTGCTCCACTTTCCCACCCTCCATTTCAAGATCTGATATGTATTGTTCAAAATAATGTTCCTTTGCTACACCGACCTGATGGCTAGAATTGTCAATAAACCGTACTAGAACTCTAATAAAACAACTCTGCAAGTTACTAGTCATTTGCCCCTTATCACATGCCTGAAAAGGCCCGTTAAGTGATTAACAGTGAGGCAAATTGTAAATGTGTATGAAAATGAAAAGCCCTCTTCAGTTACACAGATGAAATATACTATGGTGTATATATAGTGTTACGTCACTGCTGTTGTGTTACGAATCTCTGCCTGACTAGCCCACCTCTCGCAAGTCACTGTCCAAACAGAAAGAAGGTGGGACATTTATGTACATATTTTCAAACATTTTCTCTATATGCCTCATACTACATCCAGGTGGAATCTCTGGTACAGGGAGCCCTTTCCTTAGCAGAGAGATTCGAGGAACAACCATGGTTGACAACAGTGTCAGTGGGTCATCAGTAAGGATTCATGTTTGTCACGGAGGTCATGGAAGTCATGGATTCTGTGACCTCCGTGACTTCTGCAGCTGCCAGTGCGCCTGACCCAGGGGTCGCCTGAGCAGCTCGCCGCACCCCCCCCCCAGCAGCAGGAGTTTGGATGTGGGGGGGCTCAGGGATGGGGGTTGGGGTGCAGGGCGGTGCTTACCTGGGGGGCTCAGCTCCTAGCTGCATGTGCTGCCTCCACCTGCAGGCACCGTCCCTGCAGCTCCCATTGCCTGTGGTTCCCAGCCAATGGGAGCTGCAGAACTGGGGCTTGGGGCTGGGGGAGGCAGCACTTCCAGCTAGGAGCTGGAGGTCACTGCTTCCCAGGAGCCAGGTAGGGAACCTTCTCCAGCCCCACCAACCCCTCCCCCCCCAGCACCCCCGCTGCAAGCACCTACGGTGTCCCCAGGCCATCCGTCCCCCAGCGAGCACCCGCAGCACCACCAGGACATCCCCCCGAGCTGCCCCCCCCATGATTTAGTCAGGGGTATATAGTAAAAGTCATGGACAGGTCACAGGCCGTGAATTTTTGTTTAGAGCCCTTGACCTGTCCATGACTTTTACTAAAAATACCTGTGACTAAAACATAGCCTTAGTCATAAGTTTACCATGGGGAAGCGACTTCTATTCTGATTTGAGCTGTATGAAGCAATTATCTGAACCATAGCTTTTACAGTAGGGGAAATTGCGAGCAAAACATTGCACTCTGGCATATTTATATGAGAGAAAATTTTCATCATGAAAACTGACAGTGGCCTCGACTGGCCAAATTTCACCCTTTTTAAATCCACAAACTCTCACTTGCAAATATTCATAAAGTGAAAACTGAGGCACCACTCCTGGGCTAGCTTTTTTTGTATCGCAGTTAGTGAGGGAGGCCATCTTTGTGCCTCTGTTTCTTGTGCTACCCAGTTTGTGCCTAGTTTAATCCCCAATTTAAGGACTGTTCTTTACATCTAATTATATATGCCCCAATGAGCCATTCCTTCAACCAGGGAGCACTGGGGTGTCAGGATGCCAGCCACACCCCCCTTCTGAACCCACGTTCACTTGCATTGACAAGTTGTAGCTAGACATAGAGTCATCAAAATGTACATCTGGAAGGGATCTCAAGGGCCATCTGGTCAATCCCCTCGCCCCACATTGAGGCAAGATTAAGTGTACCTAGACCATCCTTGAAAAGTGTTTGTCTATCCTGTTCTTAAAAACCTCCAATGATAGGGATTCTACAAACCCCTTAGGAAGTCTATATCCTCCTTTGAAAACCACTCATTCACAATATCACACAAAATGAGCCGCCACCCTCAAGTAGTTCCATACTTGTTATCAATCCCTCCTCAGGCATAACATTACAGCTGGTTGCCTAAAATTAGGCACATGCACGTAGAGAGTCACCTGTAAGGGGCTCTGTTTTCAGAAGTGCTGAGCACCCACATCTGCCATGAAAGTTGATGCACCAATAGCAAGGTTGAGGACCTGGCCCTGGGACTTTCACACAGATCTAGTTCTGAGAATGGGGATGTCCTTTACCAGGCTCCTTCTGCACTATTTTCCCAGGGCTTCATTTATGGAAAATATCCTCTTTCCATTTATCCTCTTTCTGTATAGTCTCACTGATGATTTGGGAAAGAAAAGGGATTTACCCTATAGCACCAGGCATAATGGGGCCCTCAGGCCTTACAAAAATATAAATAACTACTAATCAAATTAATCAGAGTCTGGGGTGGGAGGAGAGCACAGAAAGCAGAGCTTTAAAGTGTTTTATTTTGATTGAAATAAATCAGTATTCATTTGGATTAAGATAGTTTCCTTATTCAAGAATGTAACAGCTCAGCAGTTTTTATTTTTCCTGATTTCTCCTCCAAACTGCTTCTCTAAATTCACTCTACTGTTCTCAAGTAGGTATTGCATTTACTCCCTCATGCTGTATTTAGTTAGGATTATAAACAATGTAAGTGGACTTGGAAGGATTAGATTTTTATCTGCAAGTGTCAATGAACGTCTATTTCTCCATCCACACACAAACTGATGAAAAAATATTTCCATTTACAATAGGCAAAGAAAGAAAAATGCTGCTTGCGAACATATTAGCATTTGACTTAAGGCTATTTACTGTGAATTTTGACATATGATGTTAACAATTTGTGTTTTAACTGTTCTAAATAGGAATCTACCAAATTCGTGGCCGTGAAAATTCTGTTGCGAGCCATTAAATCTGGTCTCTCCATGAAATCTGGTCTTTTGTGTACTTTTACCTCATACAATACTATAGGGTAAAAGTATACAAAAGTATACAGCATTTGTCAAACCAGGGGTCCTGACCCAAAAGGAGGTTGCAAGCCTATTGTAGGGCAGGCCATATTATTGCCACCCTTACTTCGGCACTGCCTTCAGAGCTGGGTGGACAGAGAGTGGCAGCTGCTGGCTTGTTTGGGTTGCAACAAAACACACTCTTTATCCAGGTTAAAGAGACAGAGGATAAGGAAGAGAATTGACCTCTAAGACATAACTTACAAGGAGTTTTCACCCAAAAGCATCAGAAATACAGAAGAAGAGTGTTAGCGCAGATGAAAATAAGATGTGTTGGCTACTTAAAGCATAGGAGACAAGAGAGAGAGAGTGGGAGAGAGAGAGAAACGTGTACAGGCAAGTCGCATCTTAGGCGCATTTAACATGCGCGAATTCAGCTTTGCACGGTCGGCAAAAACGGGGAAAAAAAGAAAAACAACAATATAAAAACTGCATCTGTAGTGCGGGCGATTCTGCCCGCCATTGAACTCAATGAGTGTTTCACTATATGCGGTTTTCCCTTTACGCGCTAACCGCGGAACGGAACCCCCGCGTAAGATGAGACTTGCCTGTATGAGAATGAAAACAAAACACTTCAGATTCTACCAGATCTCTCCCCATTTCAGAAAATGTCTTGAAGCAGGGAACTTTGAGGCTCTATGTACTTTTTACCCTTCTCACCCTAATGTTTCAGTGACGAAAAGGGGGAGTGCAGATTAATCATGCTCTTAAGTGCTATTTTTTGGTAAAACAGGAAATAGGAAATAAGTTGATTACATCCAAAACAACATTTCCAAGTGGGGCTATTTTGTTTCTCTTTGGTAACTATAGATGTTCATATTTGTTTTATATTATTTTATCCAAGACCACAATTCAGATAAAAGGGGAAAACTTAACCTAAAAGTGAAATAAAACAGCATTTCAATTATTTTTCTGGGACATTTTTATGATGATTTTACTTTAAACTTGCTGGAGGCTCAAAAGCCTGGAAAAGTTTAAACCTTCCCCGCCCCCCCCACTCCCTTAAAAAAAAAAGGGGGGGGGGGCTAGGGAGGGAAGGTTGAGCTCACCTGATAGGGTTTTCTCAGTTTGCCCAGTTCTCATGAGGGTTGAAAAACAGTTAAAATAAATGAACAGCTTTGATGAACAAGTAGTATTGTTAACCACAATAGCAGGTTTAAATCTAACTCCTCATCTTCTTCTGTGAGCATGTGTTTTAAATGCTTTCTCATGCAGACTTACAGTGCTGTCGATATATGCTTCAGTCCATACCACATCATGCTCTTGATCAATAACCTTTGGTCGGCTAAGAACATGGAGGTATTCCATGACGTTCTCCTGCACATCAGCTAATGTAGAGATCTGAGTAAAAAACCCTGTGGAAACACAGAGATTCCAAGTTATGAGGCTGACAGAAGGAATTAAGGAAGATTCCAACAATAAATATGATGCATGTTATGTCTGCTGTGTTTTCTGTTTAATTTTCTCCAAAGGAGACATGCAAAAGGACATTCTTTGATGAGAAGCAGCCTTGTCCAGTATTAATTTGTGAAAGCAGAAGTCTGTGAAACAGTGTGTCAGCCTTGAAGGGCTCAGTTCCTGAGACTGTTATACACCATTGCACAGCTTATCCTAAGTATTTGGTTCCAAGACAGTTTTGTGGTTTCATGGTAAAGTAGAAGTTATGGGATTTTTTTTTTCATAGTAAATACTTAATAAAAATTAGAACTGTATTCACTTTTTACAACATTATACCAAACCACGCAAAACTTATCTAGTTTCAGGTGTCAGTTTACAGAACTGACTTGGGGTCAAAATGGGGAAAAAATAGTAGTGGTACTCCACTCCAGATCTGTCCACACTCTCAATCCTGTGTGGCATGGAATGGGAATAAACTCCTGATACCGTAATACATTCTTTGCAAATGGTAGGGACCAATGAGAATAGAATCAGAATTACTTGGGTAAATAATCACAACTTTGAATCATAAACCTTGAAACAGGACTCCTCCTAAAGGCACTATCCTGGCAGCAGTGAAATGGGGAAGGCCACAGCCACCTACACTGTCACCAGCTTTATTCCCTTTCAATGCTCAAATGCAAAGTATCCTTACATGTCCTTGCCCTGCCAATCCCATTTAATCAAATATGACAAAGGCCTGGAGCAACTCCAAGACCACAGTCTTGCCCAGACTACTGCATGAGTTTACCCAAATTTACCCTCATCTACACTACTGTGTCTGGATCTCCATTCATCACCAACCCTCTTCTCTACTACAGGAGAACTGATGCCTAATGGACAGGAAAGAGGCATTACCACAACGCCTGATCTTTGAAGGGTTGGAGAACCAGACTTCAAATGGTAATAGGCAGCTGGAAACAACAACTGTTGAGCTGTATTTATTAGAGAGTGACAAACCAGATTGGATAAAATAACAGACCAAAATCTTCCATCAAAATTCCAAGTGGAACTTTTGACCTTTCAGAAAACTTGACTAACTTTTTTTCCTTCCTCATTTTTGTGACCTTTAATATTTTCTGGTTTTAGAGTAGCAGCCGTGTTAGTCTGTATCCGCAAAAAGAACAGGAGTACTTGTGGCACCTTAGAGACTAACAAATTAGTCTCTAAGGTGCCACAAGTACTCCTGTTCTTAATATTTTCTAATTCCATTCAGCATCAGAAGTACAAAGTCTGAGATGTCTAGTCAATTACCAAACCTAAAGGTTTTTGGATATGTGTAGTGTCATCGCGGTTATAATGGGGGTCTGGGACTTACAACATCTCAGCTTGCTATGTGATTGTAGATATGACACTTACAGTTTCTTTATCTTTAACATGGGTTTCATTTATGCTATCTACCTCACAGGGTTGTTCTGAAGCTAAACTGAGTAACATTTATAAAGCATTTTCAGATCCTTGGAATTACAGTATTCCACACCTTTTAAGGTTTTTATACATTTATATCAATAATATATCAAATTATTTACAAGTTTTTTGATCCACTTCTCTTTCATTGTTGGTTGCATTTTATAACTCTCTGGTCATTATAAATATAATGCATGTGAGGCTCCCTCCTGTAGATATTAAATAGTCCACAGGAGTGAAAGACTGTGTCAGTTTCCATAGGTGTAATGGGATAATAGTACCTCACAGGTGTGTTGTGAGGATGACTACATTAAAGGTTGTTAAGCTGTCAGATACCATGGTGGAGAGTGCCATAGATATTTGGGCTGAGAAAAATCAGTAACTCAGACTACTTCAGCCATCCATAATAAGGCATTTCACCTTATTGGTGATCACAAAATGCCTCACTCTTCAATGTAAAGTCCTAGACTGTGGCTCGCTCTTACACAGCCTTCCAGAATTGCAGAACCTGCACTAGGGAGAGGTGCAGAGGCTGCTCCCCCATAGAACCTACTCATGAGAGAGGAATTTGGAAACAGGTACAGCCAGAGCTTGATACTCACCAGTTGCTAAGCATGGGAAGAATACATTGCCTTCTTAAGTGGGGGAAGGTGGCAGAGTGTGCTTCCCTTCCCCCACCCCAAACAGGGAGCTCCGAGAGAGATCATGGTTCTTTTAGGCAGATCTCACCCATTGCTCCTCTGTGAGGCACTGTATCTCTGTACCACCCCTTACTATCGGCTTAGTGCTATTAGCATAATCTAGCCTAGTGTTTCTCAATGACTGACCTGTGGACCGGTGCCGGTCCCTGACACAGTTTAGGAAGGCAGCAAGATGGTCCCTGGTATCAAAAAGGTTGAGAAACACTGATCTAGCCCACACTGAAGGGCCAACTCCACTCATTTTTATGGTCAGAGAGAGTCAGCAAGAAGACAAAACAATACAAAACAACAAATTCTTGACTAGACAAACATTGTAGCCAATCATAACTCACTCCTCTTTAAGGGACCAAACCTTCAAGATGCTGAGGGCACTCAGCGTCTTGCAGGATAGGGCCTTATTATTCAATGTGCCAGCCAATAATCCATGTGTCATTTGATACAAATATGGCATGTTTCCATATATATATATATATATTTCCTCCTGTCTCCAGACCATGAAATTATAGCACTTACATGAACACAGCAAAGGTGTATGATGATGCAGCTCATTCTACATATCAGCAATATGTGGATATGAAATAAGTTAAAAAAACAATTTTCTTTGGTGCATATTTTCAATACTCAATCAGCAAAGACAGATGGGACACTTACATTTCTCTGAGTGCAAAGCTCTGATAAATTTGGTCACCGTATCAGTGAATTCTCATTCTTTCAAATATTTTAGCTTTTGTAATTTAACTTTGCATTTCCTGGCATTTTATGGTTTGGGGAGTTGGCTTTGTAACTCTGAGATTCTACTGTATCATAAAAAACCTTTATGTGTATATGTGCCTAGGACCATGGAGAGTTTCTTATCCAACATTTTTTTTCTTTTCCACATATTTTCAAGTCAGAATTACAGGATATTTTTAATGTTAAATTTCTATTAAAATTACTACTTTGAATATTCATTTAACAAGTTTCTGAATTTCTATGACTAGAGCGCCCCTCAGTCACAAGTCCTTATGCTACCTTTGAGATAAAGCTTGAAAGTCAGCATAAGCTCGGGTGCCTCATGCAAGGTTTTTATGTCACTATGTTTCAGATAAAATGGTCTTTTCCCCCTCTTTTTCTTTCTCATGCAGAAAGAAAAGACACTAACTCCTGGAGGTCGGTGAAGGAGGGAACAATAGACATGACCCACATTAACCCAACAATAATTTAAACAACAATCAACAGGGAACCATGTGGTATTTTGCACCAGCTTTTTTCATTTTAAATTTGTGCATACAGCAAGATATGGGGCCAAAATACCGAATGGCAAACATTTTCCTACTAACTTTATTTTGCAGATAACGAAGGGATATGTTTTGGTATTGCCAAAATCCCTTTTACGGCAATAGAGATATCCAGTTAAGGAGATTATTCTTGTCCATATCCTATACCAATATACAGTACTCACTCTTAAAGATACACAAAGAAGCATACACATACACACACACACTTGACATTTCTAAGAGTCCCATCACTGTGGTATTTAGGCATCATAACACATGTGAAGTGCTTCATTTCTTGTTGGAATAGTGCATCATACTCCAAAGGATCTGAACAAAACTGTATAATCAAAATAATTTTTCATGACATACGCCAGTGATGTAGATGGATATGGGGTGGAAAGTTGAGACGAAAAGTGTGTTACGGGGCTTAACCAAATGAATTTAATCAGCTAGGCTCAGCCTATTAAAATTATTGACCTTTTAAAAAATGTCTTTTTGTAAGACTTTTTGTTAAGAAATGTAATTTTTGATTGATAATAGGAAGTAGCTGAGGACCGAAGTCATAGCTGTAACCATATACATTCTCTTTATTTTCCTTTGTGGTGGTCTTCTCAAAGCTGGGTTTGAGTTTGCACTGTAGGCTTTTGAATGTTTAGTCTCCCTTTTAATGTGTTTTTAGACTTCGTGGCTCATGTTAAAAGCCTGCAATCAGTTTATAATTTCCATGAAATTATAATTAATACTAGAATTAGCTGCCTATTATGAACTTTTGGCTCATTCTTTCCAGGTAGCATTGATTTATTTACTTTCTTCCTAGACATAGTAGTTTTCCTTGAACTTTAGCTTCCACTATAATAAAGTGTAATGAGTTGCCACAGCCTGAGTGATGGAACTCTCCAAAATTTTTGCATACTTGTTTAAATATTTATTTTTGCATTTTCTCCCTTGTAAGTTATTACACTAGAGTTAAGGCCAAGGGAGGCAACGTTGCTATATTGCACTTTCACCAAGTATTTGGACTGTTTGATTATTTCTGTGTGTAATACTACCATATGTCACAAAAGCCAATCCTCATTTGAATCATACACTCATCCATTATATGAAACTGTTATCCAGGGGATTTCAGCTCCTCCTTTTTTAGACTTTGAGGTTTAATCAGGAAATAAAGAGTTATGCACTGAAGTCCTTGAGCACAGCCGCTAAGCCTATGCAAGTTATACCAGATAAACCTTTGCTTTAACTTACACATTCTTACACCTCTCTCTGGCTCCTTGGTACGTAAGTTATATCATCTAAGATTCATTTCCATGCATAACTACTATTTTTTTAGGAAATAAAAGTCCTTCCAGGAACTACACCTCTACCTCGATATAACGCTGTCCTCAGGAGCCAAAAAATCTTACCGTGTTATAGGTGAAACCGCGTTATATCGAACTTGCTTTGATCCACCCGAGTGCGCAGCCCCCCCCCCCCGGAGCACTGCTTTACCGTGTTATATCCATATTCGTGTTATATCAGGTCGCGTTATATCGGGGTAGAGGTGTATATGCCATTTCGTAAGACTGAACATGATGTTTCATAAAATTATTTGGTTAAATATTAAATATAATTTGGTTAAATGATTATCCTCTGAAATTAGACTTCCTTTCCATACTGCCATTATCATAAGATAATAGTGATTTTCAGCCAAATGACCACCTGTAGCATTAGACCCCAAACGGCTCAAAACGACAAACTATTTTCAACAGTGCACTGTGTACTTGACAAGAAATGTGTCCCACCTTCAGGTCATGGAACAAAATGGGTGCAGTGTTCTTGTAAGGAATACAGGATTAGAACCTAATCTCCTTGGGCAGGGACTAAGGAGTGTATTCTTCACTGCATTGAAGCGGTAATGCTCCCCAGCAGAAGGGGCTTCCCAACAAGGTGAACAACTTGCGTAACCATCTCTATGCCACTTGCTGCAAGAGCCCACAGTGCTGGAGGTGTTGGGATGCTGCTGCTTGTGGAGGGGATGTAGCTGGTGCTTCCTTCACCTCCGCTATTTCCTAATAATAAAACAGGCCACGGAGCTGTTCTCATTGAGGCTCAAGTTGAGCAAACCCTCAGGACTGCTAGGCTCCCATCAATCAACCCCAAAATAAGGAAGGCACAAGCCTCTCTTCCTTTGTTCATTCACCTCTTGAATCCCCTCTTTTGTCCTCCTCTGTGTTTTGTAAAGGGCCAACCACACTGTTGGTGCATAATTAATAACAAACATTCAAAAGAGGGGCTGTCAAATGATTAACTGACATACTTTTATCATATAAATATTTGTTTCATGCCCTCTGTTTTGTAAGTAACCAAAACTTTAAGGCCTATCTTTATTTTTACAGCTGGCTGACTTTCTGTTGAATGTGACTGTTGAGGGAGATGCAGTGGCTGCATACTTTAAAACTTGGCAAGTTGAGCATTGGGAAACTTTACACCTTTGTTCACTTTAAGATCCTGGTAAAGCTCCACGTTGTTGTTGTTTTTTTTTAAACTTCATGTGCACTTGCTTACAGAATAATGGGGAAAATAATTGTACATTTCATAAACCATTCTACTGGGGCTTTGAGGTCTTGATTCTTTTAATGTATTTAAAATGGTTTGCTGCTTAGCCTCATTAAGCCCATACTCCCTCAAGATATGCCCTACTTATGCACAAAATGTAGCAGAGAAATGTGTGTGTGGGATGGGGGGGGGGGTGTCTCATGGTTTCCCCATTAGATTCCAGAAGTTAAAGAACTTTTGCAAGGTGGTATGAATTTCCCTAGTGATCCTTTTCGAAAGAAAGGATTTTGCTGTCCACAATGCAGTCAGCTGGAAACCTTGCAAACAGCCTTCATCTATGCTGTGCTTCCAAGGGGAAAATCACTGCAAGGAAAATTGATTTTAGGGCCATTGACCTCAGTAACAACAACACGCTTTGGCCCACCCATGCAAGAAGTAAACTGCAGTGCAGTCATTCAGCCAATCTGCAGATCGCCTTTACTAGGTCTCTCTTCTCCCTTAGCTGTAATATGTCTTTTCACTAAAGAACTTGGCTGAACCAGAGCTAAAAAATCTAAGGGAAAGTTCTGAATCTCATGTAACTTGAGCTGAAGATGGTTGTGCTGCTTCCTACAGTGTCAGATCCTAGACTATATGAAATTAATTACAGATCAGAGATGGAAGACCTTAATGTCAGGGAGCAAGTCATATAACTGATGCAATCTGAGGCAAAAGTCTATGGAGGCAATGATAATTAAAATAAACCTTTTAGATGACACCTATGGGCCAGATTCTGTTCTCATTTACACAGGTGTAAGTCTGGAGTAGTTTCATTAACTTCAGTAGATTTTATCCAGATTTACCCGGGTGTGAGAGAGAACCAGATTTGACCCCCTCTGGTTTAGAAAAAGGCAAACCTACAATAGTCTTCCATCAGAGTATACAAAAGCAACGTGACGGGGAAGTCTACTGTGTTTGTTGCTAGTGATGGTGAAGAACAAAGATGTGCACTTTCCCTTCATCGGGAATGAGACTGACATGTACCAGATGAACTAGTCAGGCAGCTCCTATTGCCTGGCCATAATTTCTAAGTTGCTGTGCTTAGATCTTTATGAAGCTATAGTACTGTACTGTCTACAAAGCTAAAGCATTTGGTTGATTAAATTGTCTTCAAAAAGATGCTTCAAAGGATTCCTATACAATGACTAGAACTAAATTACGGTGTAACATTAGCTGATTAAGACAAGACTTCAGACTGAGTAATTCCAATCAGATGGATACAACAGTGGTTAAAGCAATAATGTCTATGTGCATAGTGCCTGATGTGAGTCATCATAATGTGATGAGGCACAAAGAAAAAACAAAATGACAGATATGTTTTTTCCAAGAATACAGATAAAGGAAAATTGACTTAATCAGTGATTTCTAAATTATTATTATTTATAGTATGCAGTGTTGTAGCTATGTTAATCCCAGATTATTAGAGACACAAGTCGGGTGAGGTAATATCTTTTATTGGATCAACTTATGTTGATGAAAGTGACAAGCTTTCGAGCTTACACAGAGCTGTGTACACCTTGTCACATATATAGTGTCCATCTCTCATATGTACTATTATGATCACCATTACCATAAGTACCCGAACACCTCATACCCTCATGTATTTCTCTTCACAAGATATAAATCTCTTTTTCCTATTTAGATTGTGAGTTCTTCAGGAGAGGGATGTGGTTTACTATACGGTTTGTACAGTGGCTAGCACATTGCAGCCCTAATCTCAGTCGGAGTCCTATGTACTACTCTAATACCAATAAAATAATAATAATAGTGAAGGAGCTTTTAAATTGAAGCTAACCCACTGTGAACAAAGCAGAAATTGAAAATCACATCTGTGGAATATTTTAGGTGCATTTTAATTACCCATAAATGTATATCAAACTGGGTATATTTTTAAGTCTGCATACTCTAGATATGTTTTCATAAACAAGCCTATCTTCCTGAAAAACCAACCAATCCCCTCCAAATGGTTCACCTTAAACAGCTGGCAATGAGATGACTCTTGTAGCAAGACTGAAAACTTGTACAAGGCTTAGCATGATACCTTGAAAATAAAACAGTTAAAGAAGGTAAACCAACCTTTGTTAGCACAGGCCATCCATTTGAGGTTGTCAGCAAAAGCAGCTTCTCTTCCGATCAGATAGGTAAACATGCGAACCTAAAAGTACAATACAAGAGATTAACTCACTTAATACTACAGTTCCATGCTTAAAGCATATGCAGTTTAGCTATTTTACATATGTGCAGTTCACATGTGTAGAAAAACATCACAAAGGTTTAAAGGTTTGCTAGTTTAAAAATCTATGCCAGTAAGATATTTATGACATAGTGCGTTTCTTTGTTCTGTTTAACAAAGTGGCTTATCACTGTGGATGTTTTTAATATCTGGCACTTAACCAAAGCCATAAGTAAAGATAAAAGAAAACAAGTTAAAACTATTGGTACATAATATGAAGTCATATGTTTGAGATGTCTGTTGTGCAGTTGTGAATTTAGAAGGCTGTTCTGGTCCTGGGGTTGTATTTTAATAATTAAATACATCATTGCTATAGATGTGGGAACTTGAAACAACCTGCTGGCAAATTCTCTCTGTCTTTCAAAAACAATATGTACACAGCGGTAGATATACACGCGACACTGATGATATCCAGGTGGTAAATTGCAGAACCATGTGACAAATTACTTTGACCGCCCTCCTGAACTCTGCCCACTTATCCATCTCACTGACACTACTAACGTTTCAATTTTTGTGCAGCTTCAAACAGCTGCCATTTAAATGTAAAATAAAATAAAACTAACCCAGTGAAATGATTCCCTCTCGTCAAACACCTTCACTCAAATTCTTCTCTCTAAGTTACAATTTATTTAATACAGATACTTAAATGATTTCCATTATCTTACTAGCTGAGTGCCTCACAAACATTAATGAATTTTTCCTCACAATACTCCAGTAAAGCATGAAGCATTATTTTACAGAAGGGAAACTGACAGAGGGGTTACATGATTTCAATACAGTCATGTAGGAAAACTGTGGCAAAGCTGGGAACTGAACTCAGATCTCAGGAATCCAAAGACTTCCCCTTTGGAAACAATATTTTCCCCTCAATTTTACTCACTCTCACCTTCTATCATCTGATGCATTTTATTTTGTAATTCTTTGTACTTCTCTAATGGCTTTTAAATTACAAATATAATACAAGTGTATTTCATATGTTAATGATGTCTGACAATGCCCCAGTAAGTTAGGTATATTATTATTAGTGAGGGACGAAACTTTTGTATTAAAACACCAAAACAGGTGAAACTTCTTGAAATCATCTGTTTGGATTTTTGATGAAACCCCCAAACTGACAAAGGCTGGCCAGGGACCCATAATCTCCACAAATCCATCCCTTAAAAGGAATCAGTTCTCTCTCCCACACACTATCATTTTCTTTGTGCCTTCCAGAGACAGGGACTGCTACTTCCTCCCCCAACAGGATGCTTATATCAATCTCCTGGTTTCTTCAGTAACCCATTCATCCTCATCTTCTGTCTCTGGGATGCCAGCAAGACAGGCCTGGCTCCACACTAGACTTACAGAATATCTTCAGGGAAGCAGAAAATGTGCCCACTTCCAGACCATAGAGTTACAGCCCTGAAAACGATTGATCAGAGCTCACAAACAATGCCTTCCTTCCTTAACTTAATGACTAGAGTATTTTTCCCTTAGGACCATAACAAAAGCCAAACAGGAAAGAGAACATTAGAACACCTGCCTCTTTTTCTTGACAGAGACTCTACAGGAGCTTCTTCAGTTTGTCTCTCACTTGCAAACAGCTTGCCATAACTCTTATCAAGCCATCAAAATCAGGCTTAAACCGATTTTTAAGAGATTATAAATGTAGAGTAAGAACACAATGTCATATAATACCTTTTATTAGTATTTAACAGACCTTTTAATTGGAAACATAAAACAATACTAAATGCTGGTTTCCATCACCTGAAAACACCACCACAGATTTCAAGTCATCATTATCAAGTTAAACATATTGCAAGGGATGAGGGGTTGTTGTTGTTTCTTTAAACACACTTTTTGACAAGTACACATCAGCATTTTCTGATTGCAAATGGTTCTTTTTTAAAAAAAAAAAAAAAGAATAAACTAAGTGGATCTCAGTCAGTAAAACTGTTAATATAGTAGCATGGAGGAGATATTCAAAATCTTTGTCTCAAAAAGACCATCCCTTCTAGTGGATATATACTATAGAATAAGTGCAAATCAAATAGCTCAACCACCTCTTTAGCAGAGCTAAATTATGGGCATTCCCACAGAGGTGAATATACAATGGACATTGAAGCCCTGGTCCTACACCTTTGTAGTCAACAGGAGTTTTCCCATAGACATCAGTAAAACCATCTTATCACACACCAGTTAATTAGCTATCACAAATATTTAAATTTATGAATACTTCTTTTGCTGATAAGCTTTTTCCTTTTTAGTTCCACTTCAGCTGCTGTTTATTATGCTCCCAAACATTTCAGATTGAATTTTGGAAATCATGGAAATAATATCACTGACAGGAGCTGGGCATGATCTCCAACAATTTTTGCTATAGTATTTCCATTTTGACCGGCAGTATCCCCTGCTATTCCATTCTTTCCTTAAACAGAAACCACCAGTATCAAATTGCATGATTATTTTGTGATGTGAACAAAAGGAAATTAAGGTGAGATCAAAAACTCTTGTATTTTGAACCCAGTCTTCCAAAAGTAAAAAAAATCGTGCATCGTCTCACAATGACTTCCAGTCTCCTCTTAGCTGTTTAGAGAATGCTGCTTTCTTTTCTTATCAAAGCCTCACACTTGTCAGGTTTGTCTGATACGCAACATTAACGTACACGGCATGCCATTAGGAAGTAATATTGCTCTTTTTTTTTGGCACTATTACTGCTTCTTCACTTTTTGACTAAGATCGAATGCAGTGTTGGTTTCATACGTGATGTGACTTCTATTGAAGAACTATATTCTGCTCTTTCAGGCCAGTGGACTTGATTTAATTAATAGATCTCTCTTTTATCTCTAACTTCTGTGATCCTACTGCAGTAGCCTGATGTAACCCAGCAAAGCCAGACGAACACATATACTTTGAAAATAAAAGTATTTTCCCAAGATGTATCTTTGAGACGAAAAAAGCTTCGAAGTAAAGTAAGATAATCAGATTTCATATTTGATACTTGAATCTCTGAAGGTACTTTCATAGACTTGGGTACATTTTTATGTTTTTTCTTTTCTTCTATAGAATGCGGTACTTTAGAACATCACATCTCAACTTTAAAAAATGTTTAAGGTTGAAAAGTAACAGGTAAAGACAACACTTAGCAGATCTTTTTCCTGGGGCTTTTTGTTGTGGACCGTATTTTGAGAGGAAGTTAAATTTGAGTCAATAAGGCCATGAATTCCAAGAGGTTAGATGCATCAGACAGTTTATGCAGTGAGAGAGGAGAGGGAAGTACATGTCTGAATAGAGGACAAAGTGACAGATTTATGTGGGAAGATAAGAAATGAATAAGTCTATTTGTTTTTTGCGAAAAGTTAGTAAGTCCTGCTAGGCTCAAAGGACCTTCAATACTAAAAATAGTGAGAGGATGAAACAGACCTTTATAGTTTAAAAATATGGTAAGTGCTTCTTTGGAATATTTTGCTGTTTCAAAACCAATTTAATACACAGGTTATATGTTTCCTGTAGTTCAGTGTTTTCAGTGATTTTAACCATGAGGAAATGTAATAAAATTCTTTCAAGACTGGCAAAAAGAATTATTCTTGAACCCAAAGTGTGCATAGATTTTAGTCATGGTTTTAGAATCCAAATAAATGCCAATTTTTCAGTGCAGATATAGAATATGCTAATCCCATTTAAATGAGAATCATGGGAGACATATTTAAGAAATAGTTCGTTTCTAAAAATCAGGTGCTTCTTCAAACACCTAGCACTGATATTCTGCCCTCTGAGTAGATCAGTCAATGGGAGTCTGTAGTAGTGATGCTGTTCTATAATATTATATTCTACTGGGTAGGTGGGTGGATGGATAGACAGGCAGACATATACATGCACACATGCCCTTAAATTAAAAGATTCAAGAGTAGAAGCCTTGAACATTAGCAAAATAACATATCTCAAAAGTTATTCATTACAAGAACATTGCTCAAAGCATGACCAAACAAATACCTGACACTAGAAAGAGACACTCTTTGGCCCTCTCTAGACCAGCAGAAAAACTGTTCAACAAGGATTGACGAAAAGCCAAAGAGTAGCTTAGTTTGATGACAGATTCAAAACTTGTCTCATTTTCTAATGGCCTTAATTGTTTCTATGTCTTGCAAACTCTCAGCAAGTAAGATATTTTAATTAAACACAGGAATATAACATGTTTTGTAGTAACAAATATAGTCCCCATATTATTTGTGAAAATAGAGAAAATTATGAGCTGCATATTATATAATTAAGAGTTTCAATTCAATACAAAACCAAATCCTGCTTTCATCAGTAGAAGGCAAGACAACTTCATTTAAGTATCACTGTCCAACAAACTTTCCCACAGATACCATGTTAGAATCGTGGCTTAAAAAAAGCAAGAAAAAACAAAGGCTTCCTTTGCTTCAAGCCTGTCATATTCATTAGTTAATTCTGGTCGCGAACTCGCAACGTGGATGATCTTAAATAATCTGGGAAACAAATTGATATCAAAGGAATATCCAGATGTAAAGAACTTTCAAAATCCTCTAATTTAATATATTTACAATTTAAACAAATACTCAACAATAATATTCCTTCCATTTTTCAATTAGCTATTCCTGCTCATTTGCAGTGAGTCAAAAATGATTTGTAGAATACCACCATTGTAGGTAAAAGTTCACATACAGTGTGATTTTCACTTCAGATTACTGAAGTTTTTGGAAGTTCTTTCTCTTTTCTTTAAATCCAGTCTTTTTTGTCAGTTTAACTACTTTTTAAGGTCCAAATTTTGCTTTAAGGTTCATTTAGGTAGCTCCCATTTAACTGAATGGAAGTGACCTACGGCCTACGCCCAATTGCAAAAATTGTCCCAAATATGTTCCCAGTTGTTCTAAAAATCAAACACAGAAAATGTAATCATTTACTTTTTTGTAATTTTGTTA